TGACTTCCCGTTCCTTGTTATTTTCACTTCCGGTCTCCTGGCTTCCTTCGACTTTCTGTCCCAGGCCTAAATTCATCATAGCAGGCAAGCTAGTCGCACTACCTAATGGCCTCCTTCCAAAATGTCGCGTTAAAATTCCTGGCCATGACTGGTTTGAAGTACGACTGGATGGACGAGCTCCGCTGCCAACAGGACTAAATACTGTATAACTTGTTGCACGGCTGTAGCCTCGAAGACCTCGACTACTGACACGGGCGGTTCGATTGTCAAGCGTGCGAAGAAGGAGACGGCAGAGTTTGTATTCGAGGTAAAGATGGGTCCTAGAGAAAAAAAATTGAATTAAAATAGTTAAAGAGACGTTTTTCAGGTGAAAGGAGCAGCAGCTGAATTAAAAATCTGGAATACAAAACCAGAAAAATAAAGAGCGATCTTTTTACAGTAGTCGAACACTAGAGCAAACTCGGCCGTTTTCCCGCCGAAAAAAACTTGTGGTCGACAAACGGTTTTTAGAAGGCCACAAGCAGCAAGGAAATCTTTTTACCGTAAAAAATGCAATGTTACGAGAGATAAATTCTTCAAACTTCAGTCGTAGCGAATTCTGGCCTAAATGGCTGAAATGAAAATAGTGACAACGCGGCAGCTATTTACATTTAAGTTTCCCGCCAAAAACTTGACGATGAAGCACTCACGTTCCCCGCACAGAATTCCTCTCCACGTAAATAAAACGTCCTTTTCAAAAATAAGAAATATACATTTAGATAATTTCTATTCATTAACATTGTGCTCGAGCAAGGAATCAACGTGAATCAAGAAATTTTGAAGGAAAATATAATAAACAGTGTGGCATACAATGCTGCCAATTTTCCCGCCAAAATAACACCAACGTCTTCCACTCGCACCAACCTTCGTTCAGCTCAAGACGATTACTTAATGGACGTAAAGAACGGCTTGGCTGGATTTCTGAGTTTTATCGTAAAGGTGAGACAATTATCTTTCTTTCAGACGGTAGCATTAAGCCGATTACCTTGTTAGACTCGTATTTAGGACAAATAAACTAAGCTCGACACTAAATTAAGCTGAAATTCACAGAGTTTTATACACTGTTGAATTTTATGTAAACTCTCGTTTCAGTCCGATTTCTTGTAGAAATAAAATTTTATTAGAAAAAACTGTTGCCAATCTAACGTCCAGAAAGCGATCAATCTTAAAGATAATTGGCGGACATTTTGAAAAAGTTTCATCTTATAACAGAAGTCATAATTAAGCGCAGATTAAGCTTACTAAATTTAGACCACGCACGTGCACCGAGTTTTTAAATTTCGATTAATCTCTTGAACAGAAAACCGTTAACATTGCTAGGGTAATGCTTATATATGGTAGACAATGCAAGAAGATAAGGGTAATAAAAATGGACATTTTCATAGCCTTGACCAAACATAAAATCTTGTATACTGGTCATGACCGGTCAAGCAAGAACTAATTTAACCTAAATTACAATATTTTGAGAGGAAGTCACATCAGAGAACCCAGAGAAAAACCCGTGGGTCAAGGCAAGAACCAACAACAAACTTAACCCACATATGGCACTGGGCAGAATTGAGCGTTCTCACCACTGCATCATCCCTGCTCTTATCAACTGTACTAAGAATATGGACAATTTATTTTCATTGATACTTATATTTTGATTCTTACTTTAAGAACAAGGGCAGTCTCTCTCTTTTCACCCAAGCAATGACCTTTTCTCTTTGTTTTGCATCAGCCTCTACATCTTGACTTGGTTGCAGTTGTTGGAATTCAAAGTCTGTCTTTCCAGTGAAATCCTTGAAAGTACCTGATAAGGAGTCATACTGCAAACGCTTGATGAAAGCCTGATTGGAAAATATTGAATTACAGGTATGTAAGAGACTTAACTTAAGGACAGCTACATGTAAAAGGGGCCTGCAAAGTGTGACATAAACAACAACAACAACAAACCAACAAGAAAAACAGCCAAGGGTAATTATGGCAATCTGATGAAACACTGGGAATGACACTGTTCTTGACATTGCTGATCACAAGTATCATGCAATCTAGTGTCTGTTCAAATTGTAAGGAAAAGTCCACATACAAGCCAAGTGGCCCATCAAACTTGTGCTTATCTCCGGTTTCGGTAGCATGAAGTTACTAAGAATAATTGTACTCCCCCCCCTAGATGGGATGCTAATTCATCATGGGGTTACCCCCTAGCATTAAATTCGCTGGTACCCATTTATACACACAGCACAATGTCCCTGGCCAAGGCTTAAACCCGGACTGCTTGATTCACACACTCACCACGAGGCCACCACAACTTCACAAAGTATGCTATCTAAATTATATCATAGTAAGCGTAAGCCAGAATGCTGAAAATTAGATGTGTACAGGATATCACTCCAGGAAAATGGAATTAGTACATGTACCAGGTCTAGTTCAAGTTCATTTATTCACTCTTATTTAACAGTGACTCACTGGTAGTGCTAAAAAGGCATTGAAGTACTCCACAAAAATCTCATCATAGGCCAGTCTATCTTCAAGAGTTTCATCAGTTATTTTAAGCCCTGCAAAGAATTCCAGGTAAACACGATGCTAAGTTCAATTAAAAGACAACTTACATTGTACAACTAATACCGTCACTCACTTGAGCCATCTTCATCATGCCAAATGGCAACTTAGAATTAAAATAGTCTGCGTAGCAAGCATTTCTCTGCAGTTCAGGAGCAAAGAATTACAGCGCGAAAAATGGAGCGAGTAAAAGAGGGGGCAGGGGGAGGGGAAGGAAGGAAGGAAGGAAGGAAGGAAATCATTTCCTTCCCTTCTCCCACCCCCCCCCTTTTTTTTTTTGGCTCTCGTCCCATTTTCCGCGCAGACAAAACACCGAAAATCCCGTTCCTCAGTCTTTCTTTGCTTCCAAACCCCACGGAA